TGGGGGCGTGTTCTGCCCTCCTTTTCCTGTAGTCCAGGATCAGCTCCTTAGTCTTGCTCACGTTCAGGGAGAGGTTGTTGTCCTGGCACCACACTGCCAGGTCTCAGCCTATATGGAGGAGGTCAGTCTCATCGTTGTCGGTGATCAGGCCTACCACCGTTGAGTCGTAAGCAAACTTAATGATGGTGTTGGAGTCATGCTTGGCCACGCAGTCGTGGGTGAACAGGGAGTACAGGAGGGGACTAAGCATGCACCCCTGAGGGGCCCCCGTGTTGAGGATCAGCGTGGCAGATGTGTTGTTACCTACCCTTACCACCTGGGGTCCTTAGCTTAGTGATGAGCTTTGTGGGCACTATGGTGTTGAACGCTGAGCTGTAGTCAATGAATAGCATTCTCACATAGGTGTTCCTTTTGTCCAGGTGGGAAAGGGCAGTGTGGAGATTGAGATTGTGTCATCTGTGGAGCTGTTGGCGCGGTATGCGAATTGAAGTGGGTCTAGGGTTTCCGGGATGATGCCGTTGATGTGAACCATGACCAGCCTTTCAACGTCCTTCATGGCTACCGACGTGAGTGCTACGGGGCGGTAGTCATTTAGGCAGGTTACCTTCGCTGCTTGAAACATGTAGGTATTACAGATTCAGTCAGGGAGAGGTTGAAAATGTCAGTGAAGACGCTTGCCAGTTGGTCCGCGCATGCTCTGAGTACACGTCCTGGTAATCCATCTGGCCCCGCAGCCTTATGAATGTTGACCTGTTTAAAGGTCTTGCTCACATCGGCTATGGAGAGCGGGATCATACAGTCGTCCGGAACAGCTGGTGCTCTCATGCATGCTTCTGTGTTGCTTGCTTCGAAGCGAGCATGAAAGGCATTTAGCCCGTCTGGTAGGCTCGCGTCACTGGGCAGATCGCGGCTGGGTTTCCCTAGTCCTGTGTTGACGCTTTGCCTGTTTGATGGTTCGTCTGAGGGCATAGCGGGATTTGAAAAGCGGCAGCTTTAGCCTTTAGCTCGGTGCGGATGTTGCGTGTAATCCACATCGTCTGGTTGTGGTACGTACGGTCAATGTAGGGACGACGTCATCGATGCACTTATTGATGAAGCCGGTGACTGATGTGGTGTACTCCTCAATGCCATCGGATGAATCCCGGAACATATTCCAGTCTGTGCTATCAAAACAGTCCTGTAGCGTAGCATCTGCGTTGTGCCGTGAGGTGTTGTTTTATCTGTTATTTTTTTCAATGAGATGACTTGATGTGTAGTGCACTACTTTTGACCAGTGCCCCTTATGTAGTGCACTACTTTTGACCAGTGCCCCTTATGTAGTGCAGTAAATAGAGATCCAGCCAGTGCCTATTAGCAATGCTAATATCTGCTAGCGGGATAATGATTGTGCTTCAGGAAGTGGGTTAACCACAGTACAGCAGTCTTCTCTGTTTGTGTGTCTCTCTCTAATCCTAGACAACATGGTGCTGCTGGCCTCAGACATTAACTCACTATTACTCACTTAGATTCACTTAAACTCGTTAAGTTAATTTAACTCATCAGACCTCAGTCTCTTTGATGCTGAGACATCCTCCTGATCTACACCCACTTCTCATTAGGGGGGAGGAGGGGGGGGGGGGGGTTGATGCTGAGATATCCTCCTGATCTATACCCACTTCTCATTGGGGGGGGGGGTTGATGCTGAGATATCCTCCTGATCTATACCCACTTCTCATTGGGGGGGGGGGGGGGGGGGGGGGGAGGGGGGGTTGATGCTGAGATATCCTCCTGATCTATACCACTTCTCATTAGGGGGGGGGGGGGGGTTAATGCTGAGATATCCTTCTGATCTATACCCACTTCTCATTGGGGGGGGGGGGGGGGGGGTTGATGCTGAGATATCCTCCTGATCTATACCCACTTCTCATTAGGGGGGAGGAGGGGGGGGGGGTTGATGCTGAGATATCCTCCTGATCTATACCCCACTTCTCATTAGGGGGGAGGGGGGGGTTAATGCTGAGATATCCTTCTGATCTATACCCACTTCTCATTGGGGGGGGGGGGGGGGGAGGGGGGGTTGATGCTGAGATATCCTCCTGATCTATACCCACTTCTCATTAGGGGGGAGGAGGGGGGGGGGGTTGATGCTGAGATATCCTCCTGATCTATACCCACTTCTCATTAGGGGGGGGGGGGGGGGGTTGATGCTGAGATATCCTCCTGATCTATACCCACTTCTCATTAGGGGGGGGGGGGGTTGATGCTGAGATATCCTCCTGATCTATACCCACTTCTCATTAGGGGGGAGGGGGGGGTTAATGCTGAGATATCCTCCTGATCTATACCCACTTCTCATTAGGGGGGGGGGGGGGGGGGGGGGGGGGGTTGATGCTGAGATATCCTCCTGATCTACACCCACTTCTCATTAGGGGGGGGGGGGGGGGTTGATGGCTGAGATATCCTCCTGATCTATACCCACTTCTCATTAGGGGGGAGGGGGGGGGGGGGGGGTTGATGCTGAGATATCCTCCTGATCTATACCCACTTCTCATTACGGGGGGGGGGGGGGGGGGGGGGGGGGGGGGGGGGGGGGGGGGTTGATGCTGAGATATCCTCCTGATCTATACCCACTTCTCATTAGGGGGGGAGGAGGGGGGGGGGGGGGTTGATGCTGAGGATATCCTCCTGATCTATACCCACTTCTCATTAGGGGGAGGGGGGGGGGGGTTGATGCTGAGATATCCTCCATGATCTATACCCACTTCTCATTGGGGGGGGAGGGGGGGGGTTAATGCTGAGATATCCTCCTGATCTATACCCACTTCTCATTGGGGGGGGGGGGGGGGGGGGGTGGGGGGGGGGGGGGGGGGGGGGGGGGTCATAGTTCCAAAACGGTGTTTCCAAATCCAGGAGCCCATTCAGCTCTGTAACTTAGATCTCTATTTTAACAGTAACAGATAGATAGAGAGTTAACAGAAAGCAGGCATGAGTGTCAGAAGGGATATTAAGCAGGTTGCTTTCCATTATAATGAGAATCAGTCAAGACAGGGAAACCATGCATGCGCACAGGCACTCACACACGTGCGGACACACACACACACACACACACACACACACACACACACACACACACAACCGAGGGAAGGAGAACATTGAATCAGTGGTGTGCAGAAAGAAAATATGACCTTTCTCCATCTTAATTAGAACACATTTAACAGTTTAGTCATTTAGCAGACTGTCTTACAGTGAGGGAAAAAAGTATTTGATCCCCTGCTGATTTTGTACGTTTGCCCACTGACAAAGACATGATCAGTCTATAATTTTAATGGTAGGTTTATTTGAACAGTGAGAGACAGAATAACAACAACAAAATCCAGAAAAATGCATGTCAAAAATGTTATAAATTGATTTGCATTTTAATGAGGGAAATAAGTATTTGACCCCCTCTCAATCAGAAAGATTTCTGGCTCCCAGGTGTCTTTTATACAGGTAACGAGCTGAGATTAGGAGCACACTCTTAAAGGGAGTGCTCCTAATCTCAGTTTGTTACCTGTATAAAAGACACCTGTCCACAGAAGCAATCAATCAATCAGATTCCAAACTCTCCACCATGGCCAAGACCAAAGAGCTCTCCAAGGATGTCAGGGACAAGATTGTAGACCTACACAAGGCTGGAATGGGCTACAAGACCATCGCCAAGCAGCTTGGTGAGAAGGTGAAAACAGTTGGTGCGATTAAGGCAGCTGGGACCATAGTCACCAAGAAAACAATTAGTAACACACTATGCCGTGAAGGACTGAAATCCTGCAGCGCCCGCAAGGTTCCCCTGCTCAAGAAAGCACATATACAGGGCCATCTGAAGTTTGCCAATGAACATCTGAATGATTCAGAGGAGAACTGGGTGAAAGTGTTGTGGTCAGATGAGACCAAAATCGAGCTCTTTGGCATCAACTCAACTCGCCGTGTTTGGAGGAGGAGGAATGCTGCCTATGACCCCAAGAACACCATCCCCACCGTCAAACATGGAGGTGGAAACATTATGTTTTGGGGGTGTTTTTCTGCTAAGGGGACAGGACAATTTCACCGCATCAAAGGGACGATGGACGGGGCCATGTACTGTCAAATCTTGGGTGAGAACCTCCTTCCCTCAGCCAGGGCATTGAAAATGGGTCGTGGATGGGTATTCCAGCATGACAATGACCTAAAACACACGGCCAAGGCAACAAAGGAGTGGCTCAAGAAGAAGCACATTAAGGTCCTGGAGTGGCCTAGCCAGTCTCCAGACCTTAATCCCATAGAAAATCTATGGAGGTTGCTGAAGGTTCGAGTTGCCAAACGTCAGCCTCGAAACCTTAATGACTTGGAGAAGATCTGCAAAGAGGAGTGGAACAAAATCCCTCCTGAGATGTGTGCAAACCTGGTGGCCAACTACAAGAAAGGTCTGACCTCTGTGATTGCCAACAAGGGTTTTGCCACCAAGTACTAAGTCATGTTTTGCAGAGGGGTCAAATACTTATTTCCCTAATTAAAATGCAAATCAATTCATAACATTTCTGACATGCGTTTTTCTTGATTTTTTTGTTGTTATTCTGTCTCTCACTGTTCAAATAAACATACCATTAAAATTATAGACTGATCATGTCTTTGTCAGTGGGCAAACGTACAAAATCAGCAGGGGATCAAATACTTTTTTCCCTCACTGTATCCAGAGCGACTTACAGTTAGTGAGTGCATACATTTTTCATACTGGCCCCCCTGTGGGAAACGAACCCACAACCCTGGCGTTGCAAGCACCATGCTCTACCAACTGAGTTACACTGGGATTAGCAAACCGAAGGCAACACACAACCCTATCTTAAAGCAAAGCGAACGCAAAGGAGCAGGAGGGATTTAGAACACGAGAAGATAGATAGGCTAGTATATATAGAGAGATAGATATATAATATATATTAATATATCTCCTCTCTATACAAATATAAATATATATATAACTATGATATATATATTAATATTATATCTCTATGGTATCTATATGGGAGCGCGAGAGCGAAGAGGAGGGGGGGAGAGAGAGAGAGAAGAGAGAGAGAGAGAGAGAGAAGAGAGATGAGAGAAAGAGAGCGGTCTATAACTCTAGATCGAGAGCCGGAGTCTAAATAGCGAGCGTCGTGGAGATGTGTATTGTATATCTCTATATTATCTATATAGAGTCGCCTATATATCGGCGATATTCTATAGCTCGAGCGATCGTATCTGAGACTCTCTCGATATTATATACTCTAGATCTCTCTCTCTCTCTCCTCTCTCCTCTCTAATCAAACACATTAATACCGCAGCATAATGCCGCATTCAACATATGGTCATTGTAGGAGCTGTTGTCTTTGGAACACACATACACACACACACACACACACACACACACAATACAGATTTCCACTGATGTTTGTTTTTCCTGCACTGTCATCTTGTCTGTCCCTTTTAAGGTCTCCTAGTGTTCTTATCAACTTGTTTAATAGTAATATGTATATTAGGCATGTAGTAGAGGGCGGGGGTACATGGGCGTTGTCCATCGAACGTTCGCCTGCTTCAGAATAAAGTGTTCAATCAGCAGATACAGATACAATCCACACGTCTTCAGCACACACACACACACACGCACGCACGCACACACATGCACGCACGCACACACACACACACACACACACACACACTCTATTATCCCCTCCCTCCAGATGGTGTCTGAGATGGCAACAAATGGCTCTCTACTCCCGTTCCACTGAGATTAAAATAATATGCATGCATTTACAAATCTGTACTGGCACAAAAACAAAAATGAAATGAACGAGTTCTGCCATGCAGGGACAATAAGCAGGAGACTAATGGTTACAGTGGTGACTTCATCATCATAGAACAGGTAGAAGAGATGGAGGGAGGGAGGGAGGGAGGGAGGGAGGGAGGGAGGGAGGAGAGATAGGGAGGGAGGGAGGGAGGGAGGGAGGAGAGGTGTGTGGAGGGGGGGGTGTGTGGTGGGGAGGGAGGGAGGGAGGTAGGGAGGGAGGGAGGGAGGGAGGGGGGGAGATAGGGAGGGTAGCAGAGAGAGGGAGGGAGGGAGGGAGGGAGGGAGGTAGCAGAGAGAGAGACTGCTGTATTAGCATGCTTATTTAATTCTTAGGAGGCCTGAGCACAGACACACAGAAGCAGGGGATATAACCTTGCCGTGACATCAAAGGAATATTGAGACAACGTGAGCCGACCTGCTGTGGCTTCATGCAGTGGCCCCATCAGTGAGTGAGTGAGTGAGTGAGTGAGTGAGTGAGTGAGGGAGTGAGTGTATGTATGTGTACGATTAGTAATGTTTTGATAGTCTGTATTTAAATAGATGTCAATTATTTACATTTTTACATTTTAGTCATTTAGCAGACGTTCTTATCCAGAGCGACTTACAGTTAGTTAGTGCATACATTATTATTTATTTTTTCATACTGGCCCCCCGTGGGAATCGAACCCACAACCCTGGCGTTGCAAACGCCATGCTCTACCAACTGAGCTACATCCCTGCCGGCCATTCCCTCCCATACCCTGGACGACGCTGGGCCAATTGTGCGCCGCCCCATGGGTCTCCAGGTCGCGGCTGGCTACGACAGAGCCTGGATTCGAACCAGGATCTCTAGTGGCACAGCTAGCACTGCGATGCAGTGCCTTAGACCACTGCATAATTAACAGATAGCATTTTGCACCCCCCTCCCCCCGTCGCCACAAGATGAATGGTTTTGACCACTCTAAAGGTTTCCCGCCCGTCGCTGTTTTGCTCCAGTGCAGTTAGAAGGTTCTAGTTGGTGTTTAAATAAAAAGACAACGTTGATCTACTTTGTGCTGTTGTTACATTTGTATAATTGTTTCATGTCCGGTGGTGTTGGTCCGATGGTGTTGGTCCGATGGTGTTGGTGGTGTTGGTCCGATGGTGTTGGTCCGATGGTGTTGGTCCGGTGGTGTTGGTGGTGTTGGTACGATGGTGTTGGTCCGATGGTGTTGGTGGTGTTGGTCCGATGGTGTTGGTCGATGTGTTGGTCGCTGGGTGGTCGATGGTGTTGGTAGTGTGGGTCCGAGGTGTGTAGTGTTGGGTCGGATGGTGTTGGTACGATGGTGTTGGTAAGTGGTGTCCGATGTTGTGGTGGTGTTGGTCGATGGTTGTTGTGTGGTGTTGGTCCGATGGTGTTGGTCCGATGGTGTTGGTTGTGTTGGTCGATGGTGTTGGTCCGATGGTGTTGGTCGATGTGTTGTCCGATGGGGATTGGGGTGTTGGTCGTGGTTGTTGGTCAGATGGTGGTGCGTGGTGTTCGGTCGATGGTTGGTAGTAGTGTTGGTCAGGATAGGTGTTGGTACGATGATGTAGTAGTGTTGGAGGGCTGGAGGTGTTGGTCCGATGGTGTTGGGTGTGGTCCGATGGGTGTGGTCCGATCGGTGTTGGTGGTGTGGTACCGATGGTTGTTGGTCCGAATGGGTGTTGGTACCGATGGTTTGTTGGTTGGTGTTGGTCCGATGGTGTTGGTCCGATGGTGTTGGTGGTGTTGGTCCGATGGTGTTGGTCCGATGGTGTTGGTAGTGTTGGTCCGATGGTGTTGGTCCGATGGTGTTGGTGGTGTGTTGGTCCGATGGTGTTGGTCGTGTTGGTCGATGGCTGTTGAGTCAAGATGGTGGTTGGGATGGGTGTTGGTCCGATTGGTGGTTGGTCCGATGGTGTTGGGTCCGATGTGTTGGGTGGTGTTGGTCCGATGGTGTTGGTCCGATGGTGTTGGTGGTGTTGGTCGATGGTGTTGGTCCGATGGTGTTGGTCCGATGGTGTTGGTGGTGTTGGTCCGATGGTGGTGTTACATATCATTTGAACAGTGTGCGAGGAAATTCATTGTATTATTTCACTTTGCCTGTCAGAACCATGATGAGCACGGCCATGTCTGATTAGGCCCCACTGTACTGCACTCTGACTCTGAAATATTATTGGTCCCTCGCACTCCCTCCCCTCTGACCTTCTCCGCCAATTGGTTTTAAAAGGAGGAGAGGAGAGAGGATATGAGGAGTATGCAATAGAGATTCTCCCACTGACTCTGTGTAGCTTTCCATCTGCCTACAACGGTTGCATGTCCGGTAGCTCACAGGCTGTCAGTGGGTAGCTCACGTGCTGTCAATGAGTAGCTCACAGGCTGTCAATGAGTAGCTATTGGGCTGTCAATGAGTAGCTCACAGGCTGTCAATGAGTAGCTCACGGGCTGTCAATGAATAGCTCACAGGCTGTCAATGAGTAGCTCACAGGCTGTCAATGAGTAGTTCACAGGCTGTCAATGAGTAGCTCACAGGCTGTCAATGAGTAGCTCACAGGCTGTCAATGAGTAGCTCACAGGCTGTCAATGTAGCTCACAGGCTGTCACAGGCTGTCAATGAGTAGCTATCGGGCTGTCAATGAATAGCTCACAGGCTGTCAATGAGTAGCTCACGGGCTGTCAATGAATAGCTCACAGGCTGTCAATGAGTAGCTCACAGGCTGTCAATGAGTAGCTCACGGGCTGTCAATGAGTAGCTCACAGGCTGTCAATGAGTAGCTATTGGGCTGTCAATGAGTAGCTCACAGGCTGTCAATGAGTAGCTCACAGGCTGTCAATGAGTAGCTCACAGGCTGTCAATGAGTAGCTCACAGGCTGTCAATGAGTAGCTCACAGGCTGTCAATGAATAGCTCACAGGCTGTCAATGAGTAGCTCACAGGCTGTCAATGAGTAGCTCACAGGCTGTCAATGAGTAGCTATTGGGCTGTCAATGAGTAGCTCACAGGCTGTCAATGAGTAGCTCACAGGCTGTCAATGAGTAGCTATTGGGCTGTCAATGAGTAGCTCACAGGCTGTCAATGAGTAGCTCACAGGCTGTCAATGAGTAGCTATCGGGCTGTCAATGTGTAGCTCACAGGCTGTCAATGAGTAGCTCACAGGCTGTCAATGAGTAGCTCACAGGCTGTCAATGCGTAGCTCACAGGCTGTCAATGAGTAGCTCACAGGCTGTCAATGAGTAGCTATTGGGCTGTCAATGAGTAGCTCACAGGCTGTCAATGAGTAGCTCACAGGCTGTCAATGAGTAGCTCACAGGCTGTCAATGAGTAGCTCACAGGCTGTCAATGAGTAGCTCACAGGCTGTCAATGAGTAGCTCACAGGCTGTCAATGAGTAGCTCACAGGCTGTCAATGAGTAGCTATCGGGCTGTCAATGGGTAGTCAAGTATTGAATTTCAAGCTCAGATTCAACTTCAAAGACCTGGGAGCTTTTCAAAAGCTTCATAAAGAAGGGCAGTGATTGGTAGATGTATAACAGTAGCCAATCAGACATTGAATATATATTTAAGCATGGTCAAGTTAATAATTATGCTGTGTATGATGTATTAAACCACCCAGACACATGAAAGATACAGTTGTCTTTCTGAACTGAGTTGCAGGGCAGGAAGGAAACTGCTTAGGGATGTCACCATGAGGCCATCGGTGGCTTTAAAACAGCTACAGATTCAATGGCTGTGATGGGAGGAAACTGAGGATGGATCAACAACATTGTAGTGACGCCACAATAATGACTTAAAAGAATAATACAAATATACAGAATAAAAGTATTCCAAAACATGCGTATGTATTCTCTCTCTCTCTCAATTTCAATTCAATTAAACGGCTTTATTGACATGGGAAACGTGTGTTAACTTTGCCAAAGCAAGTGAAATAGATAGTAAACAAAAGTGAAATAAACAATAAATATTAACAGTAAACATTACACTCAGAAGTTCCAAAAGAATAAAGACATTTCAAATGTCACATTATGTATATATACAGTGTTGTAACAATGTGCAAATAGTTAAAGTACAAATGGGAAAATAAATCAACATAAATATGGGTTGTATTTACAATGGTGTTTGTTCTTCACTGGTTGCCCTTTTCTTGTGGCAACAGGTCACACATATTGCAGCTGTGATGGCACACTGTGGTTTTTCACCCAGTAGATAAGGGAGTATATCAAAATTGGGTTTGTTTTCAAATTCTTTGTGGATCGCTGTAATCTGAGGGAAATATGTGTCTCTAATATGGTCATACATTTGGCAGGAGGTTAGGAAGTGCAGCTCAGTTTCCACCTCATTTTGTGGGCAGTGTGCACATTGCCTGTCTTCTCTTGAGAGCCAGGTCTGCCTACGGCAGCCTTTCTCAATAGCAAGGCTATGCTCACTGAGTCTGTACATAGTCAAACCTTTCCTTAAGTTTGGGTCTGTCACAGTGGTCAGGTATTCTGCCACTGTGTACTCTCTGTTTAGGGCCAAATAGCATTCTAGTTTGCTCAGTTTTTTTGTTTGTTCTTTCCAATGTGTCAAGTAATTCTCTTTTGGTTTTCTCATGATTTGGTTGGGTCTAATTGTGTTGTTGTTGTCTCTCTCTCTCTCTCTCTCTCTCTCTCTCTCTCTCTTTCTCTCAAATCAAATCAAATCAAATTTTATTGGCCACATGCGCCGAATACAACAGGTACAGACATTACAGTGAAATGCTTACTTACAGCCCTTAACCAACAGTGCATTTATTTTTAATTTTAAAAAAAGTAAAATAAAACAACAACAAAAAAGTGTTGAGAAAAAAAGAGCAGAAGTAAAATAAAATAACAGTAGGGAGGCTATATATACAGGGGGGTACCGGTGCAGAGTCAATGTGCGGGGGCACCGGCTAGTTGAGGTAGTTGAAGTAATATGTACATGTGGGTAGAGTTAAAGTGACTATGCATATATAATTAACAGAGTAGCAGCAGCGTAAAAAGATGGGGTGGGGGGTGGGGGTGCAGTGCAAATAGTCCGGGTAGCCATGAGTTACCCGGACAATTTTTTGGACCTAGACTTGGCACTCCGCTACCCCTTGCCGTGCGGTAGCAGAGACAACAGTCTATGACTAGGGTGGCTGGAGTCTTTGACAATTTTGAGGGCCTTCCACTGACACCGCCTGGTATAGAGGTCCTGGATGGCAGGAAGCTTGGCCCCAGTGATGTACTGGGCCGTACGCACTACCCTCTGTAGTGCCTTGCGGTCGGAGGCCAAGCAGTTGCCATACCAGGCGGTGATGCAACCAGTCAGGATGCTCTCGATGGTGCAGCTGTAGAATTTTTTGAGGATCTGAGGACCCATGCCAAATCTTTTCAGTCTCCTGAGGGGGAATAGGCTTTGTCGTGCCCTCTTCACGACTGTCTTGGTGTGCTTGGACCATGATAGTTTGTTGGTGATGTGGACACCAAGGAACTTGAAGCTCTCAACCTGTTCCACTACAGCCCTGTCGATGAGAATGGGGGCGTGTTCGGCCCTCCTTTTCCTGTAGTCCACAATCAGCTCCTTAGTCTTGGTCACGTTGAGGGAGAGGTTGTTATCCTGGCACCATACGGCCAGGTCTCTGACCTCCTCCCTATAGGCTGTCTCATCGTTGTCAATGATCAGGCCTACCACTGTTGTGTTTTCGGCAAACTTAATGATGGTGTTGGAGTCGTGCCTGGCCATGCAGTCATGGGTGAACAGGGAGTACAGGAGGGGACTGAGCACGCACCCCTGAGGTGCCCCCGTGTTGAGGATCAGTGTGGCAGATGTGTTGTTACCTACCCTTACCACCTGGGGGCGGCCCGTCAGGAAGTCCAGGATCCAGTTGCAGAGGGAGGTGTTTAGTCCCAGGATCCTTAGCTTAGTGATGAGCTTTGAGGGCACTATGGTGTTGAATGCTGAGCTGTAGTCAATGAACAGCATTCTCACGTAGGTGTTCCTCTTGTCCAGGTGGGAAAGGGCAGTGTGGAGTGCAATAGAGATTGCATCATCTGTGGATCTGTTGGGGCGGTATGCAAATTTAGTGGGTCTAGGGTTTCTGGGATAATGGTGTTGATGGGTCTCTCTCTCTCTCTCTCTATCTCTATCTCTCTCTCTCTATCTCTCTATCTCTCTCTATCTCTCTATCTCTCTCTATCTCTCTATCTCTCTCTCTCTCTCTCCCTCTCTCTAGGAGGTGATGCAGATGGAGAGACAGCTAGGAGGTCGTCTGATTGATGAGCCCCACGTCCTGCTGTTTAAAGACAGCTACCACAACCTGCGCCTCTCCATCCACGACATGCCCCAGGCACACTGGAGGAGCAAACTACTGGCTGGGTACCAGGTGAGTTCAAAATATCATTTCATTGTCAATGTGTTGTTTTACAGGGTCAGGTCATAGAGGTACGACGCCCCAAGAGCAAATTATGGTTTAGTGCCTTGCTCAAGGGCATATCGACAGATTCGTTTTAAAGCTAATTGCCTGTTTGCAGTGATATGAGTGAGAGTGACTAACAAAATCAATGGGGCTCCCCCGGTCGGTAATTCGACCAAGATGACTACAAGTTTAGATAGCTGGCTAGACTGATTTCCCAATCTATAAAATGTTAACTGACATGGCAAAGTGAGTGACTGTCAGTGACTGACATAAGAGAGAACACTGATGATGCACAACCGCTTTTCAAAATGTCACCTTGTGTATTCTACTGTTCTAACTCTCAACAGTAAGTTGAGACCCCGACTGAGCTAAAAAAATAATAAATAAATAAATAAGTATTGTTAGGTTTTTGGAAAATGGCCGCCGGTTACCCATCCCTGCCCCATATAGAGCCCTATGCCCCCTGGTCAAAAGTAGTGCACTACATAGGGAATATGGTGCCATTTGGGACACAGTTGTTATTTCAGTGTTTGGTAACTAGTACATTTTGGTAATTTAGCTGACTAATGAGCATGAGTGGTTTAATGAATCACCATGAGGTCTCAAAGACTTTGACCACATTTTTAAATGGCTTTAGACACAAATGTCTCTTAAATGCTGCTGATACAACGATGGTCCCTTCAAGGTCCCTTTAGGAGATGTTCAGATTTTGGGGGATTTTTAATTGAGTGTTGTCGGGGTTTATCTTCCATTGATCATTTGAAATATTTCTAGGATAGAAGGAGTTGAGAGAGTCAGGGACTTCTGCCTAAAAACCATTGTGGCCTTGCTTCAGGCTTAGAGGATCAGTGTGCTGTGCCTTCAGAGAGGGGGGACTGTGTGTGTGTGTGTGTGTGTGTGTGTGTGTGTGTGTGTGTGTGTGTGTGTGTGTGTGTGTGTGTGTGTGTGTGTATGTGTGTGTGTGTGTAGCAGCCTCCACAGTTCCTGTCTGATTGATTCTACTAGGAGCCTCTCTCAAAGGGCGCTCAGATCAAATATAGAAGAGGGCATTAATACTCCTAGAACTGCCTTCACATCCTGACTGCTGGAACCTCTCTACCTCTCCTCCTCTCTCCTACTCCCTCCCTCCCTCCACACCCCCCGAAATCGCTCTCTCGATCGCTCTGCTGCATCGCTCATCTCTCTTCTCTCTTCTCTCTCTCTCTCTCTCTTCTCTCTCCACCTCTCTCCTACTCCCTCTCTCCCTTCCTCCACCTCTCTGCTACTACCTCTCTCCACCTCTCCTCTCCTTCACATCTGCTTGGCCTACTGCAAATGGAGAAGGAAAAAGAGGGGGTGAGGGAGGAGGAGAGAGGTGGAGAGGAGGGGGTGAGGGAGGAGGAGAGAGGTGGAGAGGAGGGGGGGAGGGAGGAGAGAGGTGGAGAGGTGGGGGGTGAGAGAGGTGGAGAGGAGGGGGTGAGGGAAGAGGAGAGAGGTGGAGAAGAGGGGGGGGTGAGGGAAAGAGGAGAGAGGTGGAGAGGAGGGGGTGAGGGAGAGGAGAGAGGTGGAGAGGAGGGGGAGTGAGGGAGGGGAGGGAGAGAGGTGGGGGGGTGAGGGAGGATGAGAGAGGTGGAGAGGGGGGGGGGTGAGGGAGGAGGAGAGAGGGGGGGGGGGTGAGGGAGGATGAGAGAGGTGGAGAGGTGGGGGTGAGAGAGGAGGAGAGAGGTGGGCGGGGGGGGGGTTGAGGGAGGAGGAGAGAGGTTGGAGAGGGTGGGGGTGAGAGAGGAGGAGAGAGGTGGAGAGGAGGGGGTGAGGGAGGAGGAGAGAGGTGGAAAGGTGGGGGTGAGAGAGGAGGAGAGAGGTGGAGAGGTGGGAGTGAGAGAGGAGGAGAGAGGTGGAGAGGAGGGGGTGAGGGAGGAGGTGCCATTTGGAAGAAGCATCAGAGAAGGCCCTGGTTTCTCGATCTGGACTGCTGAAGACTTCCTCTCTGTCACTGCCAGGTCTTTCCCTCACCTGCTCCTCTCCTGCCAGCCTGGGTCACAGTGCCCCTATCTGGCCACATGCATGTACTGCAGCTGCCCTGCCCTCTGAAATGACTGGTAATGGTTAGCAGACGCTAAATGCGTGCATACATTTTTACGTATGGGTGAACCCGGGGATCGAACCCACTACCCTGGCGTTACAAGCGCCATGCTCTACCAATTGAGCTACAGAGGACCACTAGTTAGTAAATATGAACGGTTAGATACTAGTTACTACATATGAAAGGTTAGATACTAGTTAATATATACTGTATGCTTGGTTAAGGCCAACCCGTTAACCGAAACAAACTCTGGAGTTGAGAAGCTCTGCTCTGAAATTACTTCTGAACTAGAGGTGGAGAGTGCAGGCAGTCTGCCCTGGTTTTGTCTGCCTTACCCCCATCTCTACCTCTATTACCTCTCCGTCTCTCTCTTTCTGTCTGTCTCTCTCCGTCTGTCTCTCTCTCCGTCTCTCTCTCTCCGTCTGTCTCTCTCTCCGTCTGTCTCTCTCTCCGTCTGTCTCCCTGTCTCTCTCTCCGTCTGTCTCTCTGTCTCTCTCTCCGTCTGTGTCTCTCCATCTGTCTCTCTGTCTCTCTCTACGTCTGTCTCTCTCTGTCTGTCTCTGTCTCTCTCTACGTATGTCTCTCTCTGTCTGTCTCTCTGTCTCTCTCCGTCTGTTTCTCACCATTTGTCTCTCTGTCTCTCTCTCCGTCTGTCTCTCTCTGTCTGTCTCTCGCCGTATGTCTCTCGCCGTTTCTCTGTGTCTCTCGCCATCTGTCTCTCTGTCTCTCTCCGTCTGTCTCTCGCCATCTGTCTCTCTGTCTCTCTCTCCATCTGTCTCTCGCCATATGTCTCTCGCCGTTTCTCTGTGTCTCTCGCCGTCTGTCTCTCTGTGTCTCTCTCCATTTGTCTCTCTCCGTCTGTCTCTCCGTGTCTCTCTCCGTCTCTCTCTGTCTGTCTCTGTGTCTGTCTTCGTCTCTCTCCGTGTCTCTCTCCGTCTCTCTCTCTCTCAGGGCTCTGTGCAGGCCAGTCAAGGTCTTCCACACCGATCTCAACAAACCATTTCTGTATGGACCTTGCTTTGTGCACGGGGTTATTGTCATGCTGAAACAGGAAAGGGCCTTCCCCAAACTGTTGCCACAAAGTTGGAAGCACAGAATCGTCTAGAATGTCATTGTATGCTGTAGCGTTAAGATTTCCCTTCACTGGAACTAAGGGGCCTAGCCCGAACCATGAATAAAAGCCCCAGAACATTATTCCTCCTCCACCAAACTTTACAATAGCAGCACTTACAGTTGACAGGGGCAGCTCTAGCAGGGCAGACATTTGACGAACTGACTTGTTGGAAAGGTGGCATCCTATGCCGGTGCCAAGTTGAAAGTTACTGAGCTCTTCAGGAAGGCCATTCTACTGCCAATGTTTGTCTACGGAGATTGCATAGCTGTGTGCTCGATTTTATACACCCGTCAATTTGAAGGGGAGTCCACATACTTTTGTATATAGTACCTCTATCTTACCTCAGTGCTTCTCTGAGCAACAGGGAGAGAACATTTTAGTCATGAATAAATTCAATCAGACATTCAGCAGGTACCTGACTGGAGCCTCAGTATCTGCTATTAAAACCTAGTCACTTTAAAATCTTTGGCGTGAAAAAGTTACGGTAGCTTCATGTATTCATAATCTACTCAGAATAGAGACCTGGTTTTCTTCCTCTCTCAGAAACTCAACCATCAACTCAACGACCTGCTCATTTAGAACCGGGATCTTTGGAAACCCGGCTTTCTCCACTAATATAAGTCAACTAAGATCGTGATCATTCTGCTGCTCATACCCTCTCACGGGGCAGCTAGTCACATCTGAAACCTTTGCTTTATATTGGGTCATATTGTGTTCTAGACTATAATGTTAGTCTGTTCTTGTTCTCTAGGAGATCCCGTTCTACCACATCTGGAACGGTTCCCAGCGGTACCTCCACTGTACCTTCACCCTAGAGCGCCTCAGCCTCAGTACCTGTGAGCTCACCTGTCAGCTGTGTGTCTGGCAGGTGGAGGGGGAGGGACAGAGCTTCAGCCTCGACTTCAACATCGCCAAGGTAACGCTCATATACAGTGGGGGGAAAAAAAGTATTTAGTCAGCCACCAATTGTGCAAGTTCTCCCACTTAAAAAGATGAGAGAGGCCTGTAATCTTCATTATAGGTACACGTCAACTATGACAGACAAATTGAGGGAAAAAAAATCCAGAAAATCACATTGTAGGATTTTTAATGAATTTATTTGCAAATTATGGTGGAAAATAAGTATTTGGTCACCTACAAAAAAGCAAAATTTCTGGCTCTCACAGACCTGTAACTTCTTCTTTAAGAGGCTCCTCTGTCCTCCACTCGTTACCTGTATTAATGGCACCTGTTTCAACTTGTTATCAGTATAAAAGACACCTATCCACAACCTCAAACAGTCACACTCCAAACTCCACTATGGCCAAGACCAAAGAGCTGTCAAAGGACACCAGAAACAACATTGTAGACCTGCACCAGGCTGGGAAGACTGAATCTGCAATTGGTAAGCAGCTTGGTTTGAAGAAATCAACTGTGGGAGCAATTATTAGGAAATGGAAGACATACAAGACCACTGATAATCTCCCTCGATCTGGGGCTCCACGCAAGATCTCACCCCGTGGGGTCAAAATGATCACAAGTACGGTGAGCAAAAATCCCAGAACCACACGGGGGGACCTGGTGAATGACCTGCAGAGAGCTGGGACCAAAGTAACAAAGCCTACCATCAGTAACACACTACGCCGCCAGGGACTCAAATCCTGCAGTGCCAGACGTGTCCCCCTGCTTAAGCCAGTACATGTCCAGGCCCGTCTGAAGTTTGCTAGAGTGCATTTGGATGATCCAGAAGAGGATTGGGAGAATGTCATATGGTCAGATGAAACCAAAATATAACTTTTTGGTAAAAACTCAACTCGTCGTGTTTGGAGGACAAAGAATGCTGAGTTGCATCCAAAGAACACCATACCTACTGTGAAGCATGGGGGTGGAAACATCATGCTTTGGGGCTGTTTTTCTGCAAAGGGACCAGGACGACTGATCCGTGTAAAGGAAAGAATGAATGGGGGCCATGTATCGTGAGATTTTGAGTGAAAACCTCCTTTCATCAGCAAGGGCATTGAAGATGAAACGTGGTTGGGTCTTTCAGCATGACAATGATCCCAAACACACCGCCCGGGCAACGAAGGAGTGGCTTCGTAAGAAGCATTTCAAGGTCCTGGAGTGGCCTAGCCAGTCTCCAGATCTCAACCCCATAGAACATCTTTGGAGGGAGTTGAAAGTCCGTGTTGCCCAGCGACAGCCCCAAAACATCACTGCTCTAGAGGAGATCTGCATGGAGGAATGGGCCAAAATACCAGCAACAGTGTGTGAAAACCTTGTGAAGACTTACAGAAAACGTTTGACCTGTGTCATTGCCAACAAAGGGTATATAACAAAGTATTGAGAAACTTTTGTTATTGACCAAATACTTATTTTCCACCATAATTTGCAAATAAATTCATTAAAAATCCTACAATGTGATTTTCTGGATTTTTCTTTCTCATTTTGTCTGTCATAGTTGACGTGTACCTATGATGAAAATTACAGGCCTCTCTCATCTTTAAGTGGGAGAACTTGCACAATTGGTGGCTGACTAAATACTTTTTTCCCCCCACTGTATACGACACAATACTATGATACAATATGCTCCTCCATGATATACAGTACTACATTACAGAGCTTCAGTCTCGACTTTAACATCACCAAGGTAACACTCAGGTCACATATGATGTAGTTCACACAATATGCCTCTCCAAGATATGTGTTGATATGATCCATCCAAAGAGATGGACTCTTTTTATGGCTCTTAACAATAACAGTCCTTTAATATGTGTGTGGCTGCTACTCTCTATGCTCTAATCCTGTTTATTTGGTTCAAATGACCTAAGAAGACAGCAGTCCCCTGGACTATATAGTTCATGGCTCGTAGCTATACAGGACATGTGTATGTCTCTGTCCCTATGTGTTCCTATATAACCCTTTATATATTCCTCTGGCCCTATAGGACTGTCGGCCCCTGGACTCTGAGTTCCTGCTGATGGACACTAACCCTAACGGGATGGCTCTAGCAGGACCCAGTGCTTTCCAGATCCCCTATCTGATCAGGCAGAAGATCTGCAGCAGCTTGGATACACCTTGTCCCAACGGGGCCGATTGGAGACTGCTGGCCCAGAGACTCAAACTGGACAGGTAACTGACCCTAACACCTGACCCTAAACTAGAGACTCAAACTGGACAACTAACTAACCATAGCCCCAAACCTAACGGTAGGGGGAGTGCATTCGGAAAGTATGCAGACCCCTTAACTTTTTCCACATTTTGTTACGTTTCAGCCTTATTCTAAAACAGATTTTTTTTCTTTTTTTCCTCATCAATCTACACACAATACCCAATCACGACAAAGCAACAACAGGTTTTTAGACATTTTTGCAAATGTATTACAAATAAAAAACGGAAATATCACATTTACATAAGTATTCAGACCCTTTACTCAGTACTTTGTTGAAGCACCTTTGGCAGCGATTACAGCCTCGAGTCTTCTTGGGTATGACGCTACAAGCTTGGCACACCTGTATTTGGGGAGTTTCTCCCATTCCTATCTGCAGATCCTCTCAAGCTCTGTCAGGTTGGATGGGGAGTGTCGCTGCACAGCTATTTTCAGGTCTCTCCAGAGATGTTCGATCGGGTTCAAGTCCGGGCTCTGGCTGGGCCACTCAAGGACATTCAGAGACTTGTCCAGAAGCCACTCCTGCGTTGTCTTGGTTGTGTGCTTAGGCTTGTTGTCCTGTTGGAATGTGACACTTCGCCCCTGTCTGAGGTCCTGAGCGCTCTGGAGCAGGTTTTCATCAAGGATCTCTCTGTATTTTGCTCTGTTCATCCTTCCCTCGATCCTGACTAGTCTCCCAATCCCTGCCGCTGAAAAACATCCCCACAGCATGATGCTGCCACCACCATGCTTCACCGTAGGGATGGTGCCAGGTTTCCTCCAGACGTGACGCTTGGCATTCAGGCCAAAAGGTTCAATCTTGGTTTCATCAGACCAGAGAATCTTGTTTCTCATGGTCTGAGTCCTTTAGGTGCCTTTTGGGAAACTTCAAGCGGGCTGTCATGTGCCTTTTAATGAGGAGTGGCTTCCGTCTGATGGTTGTCCTTCTGGAAGGTTCTCCCATCTCCACAGAGGATCTCTGGAACTCTGTCAGAGTGACCATCGGGTTCTTGGTCACCTCCCTGACCAAGGCTCTTCTCCCCCGATTACTCAGTTTGGCCGGGCGGCCAGCTCTAGGAAGAGTCTTGGTGGTTCCAAACTTCTTCCATCTAAGAATGATAGGCCTCTGTGTTCTTGAACCTTCAGTGCTGCAGAAATGTATTGTCTAAAAACCTGTTTTTGCTTTGTCATTATGGGGTATTGTGTGTAGATTGATGAGGGGAAAAAAATTATTTAATCCATTTTAGAATAAGGCTGTAACGTAACAAAATTTGGAAAAAGTCAAGGGGTCTGAAAACTTTCCCAATGCACCATATAGGGCTAAAAGATTGGTTTGGGACTGGGCCTAGGTATAGAGATTCAGTATTGGTTTGGTACTGGGCCCATTTAACATGATTTAACACAGCTAATTTGTCCCAGTAACTTTCTCATTTAAATCAGGCTTTAGTTTAAACAGGAAAGAATCAGAGAGAAAAACCCTGATCAATTACCTTCCGATGTAACTTCTTCCTGGTAATGAAGTCTATTATGTCCACATCAGCTGGATTGACCCTAATTAATTACACATTGGATTGGTGCAGGACAGGTCCAATTAGCCCTGTTTGGCTCAACCTAATCCATTCCCATTTAGTTCCCTTAAAGCAACATCTCCTCTGTTGGGTAAAGGGGCAATCTGGGATCGGTACGTCCCATGTTCTTTGCTTTGATGGAAGGGGTTTTAATCCATCTAACATGGATGTATCCAATGGATGTAGCCTGCAGCTAATCTAAGACATGCTGTAGTCACGTGTGTGTGTGTGTGTGTGTGTGTGTGTCTGTGTGTGTCTGTCTGTGTGTGTGTGTCTGTGTGTATGTGTGTGTGTGTGCGTGTGTGAGTGAATACAAGCAGGCAGAGGTGAACGTGACCAATCGATAAAACACCAAATGTTAGTAGTTGATTTTATCTCTTACTATACAGAACAGTGTGGTGTGAAAGGCTGTTTCTGCAGTACACCAGATACTATAAGCTGTAATGTGAAGAACACATTCTAATCGCCACACAGCCCTTTTGTATATTAACAATGTAAGCGTATTGGTTCACTGGTACAGTTTACTACCATCATGGTCTTAGTTGTGGCCCTGTATGTAGTAGGCTGGGAGGTGATGTGTTCCTGTAGAATACAATACAGTACCTTTTCCCACCCGCCTGACTGTCTGTTGGATGTCCACACACACACACACACACACACACACACACACACACACACACACACACACACACACACACACACACACACACACACACACACACACACACACACACACACACAACACACAAACACACACACACACACACACACACACACACACACACACACACACACACACACACACACACACACACACACACACACACACACACACACGCTGAATATAAGCCTGTAATAGTCTGAAAGCTTTGTCGTTCCTTGTATCCATTTAAGTGATTTTCCCCGCAGTAGGTTAGCAGGACAGAGTGAAGAATTACAAAGGTCTAGCTGTGTTCTCCAGATGAAGCTGAAGGACTGACAGGCTTGCTGACCTTCCTCTACCCTCAACCTCTCCTCACACCCCGACCCCCCAACCCTCTACCCCCCGACCTCTAGGCCAGTTCCCCCCATTCACCTTTGATGTGGTACACAACAACACTTCAATCCCTAGTCAGTAGAGGATCAGAAAAAGGCCGAGCCACTCCAGATACCTCAGGGAGGAAGATTCTAGCCGCTGTCATCCTCCACATCACATGTGCTACTGAGCTGAAGGAATGGGTCTCGTCCCAAATGGCACCCTATTCCCTATGTAGGGCACTACTTTAGACCAGAGAATGGCACCCTATTCCCTATGTAGGGCACTACTTCTGACCAGGGTCCATAGGGAGGCCCATAGGGCTCTTGTCAAAAGAAGTGCACTATATAGGGAATAGGGTGCCATTTGGGATGCAGACAACATGTGAGGAAGGACAGGGGTCACTGCATTTAGGTCTATTGATTGGTTGGGTTTGATGTGAAAGGTTAAGGCCTGGAAGTGGAAAAGGTCATTTCCTACTTTAAATGTGAACGTTCTTTAAGGGATTTATTAAAGGTTTTATGTGTGATTTATGTTGGATTCATTGCCATGTTTATAATCACATGCAAAAAGGGGATCCTAACTGCTCAAGGGGAAGGGATAAGACTTCTAAAAGGAATGGTTTGATGTATATTGTTTGCTTACAGAAGTATAGTATAGTATAGTATAGTATAGTGTGGTGTTAGTGTAATATAGTATACGTTATAGCTAGTATAGTATACGTATAGTATAGTTGGTTATAGGGTAGTGTGGTATATTACAGTATAGTATAGTGTAGTGTAGTGTAGTATATTATGGTATAGTGTGGTATAGTATAGTGTAGTATAATATAATATAGTATAGTATAGTGTGGTGTAGTGTAATATAGTATAGTATAGTATAGTGTGGTATAGTGTAGTGTGGTATATTATAGTATAGTATAGTGTAGTGTAGTGTAGTGTATTATATTATGGTACAGTGTGGTATAGCGCTTGTTTGTTCCTCCTCCTGGCTTTCCCTGCGTTTGGGGGGGGACGTCAAAAAGGTACAAAGGTTTTTCGTGCATATTTTGGGGGAAGGATACTTCCCCAAAACCGGACTCACAAAGGGGCTTTTTCAGTGCAGTATTTGGGGGAAAGGGGAAGTCAACAGGACTCACAAAAAACTTAAGTGCAGTATTGGGGGAAGGAGACGTCAACAAGGACTCACAAAGGACTTTACAGTGGTTTGGGGGAAAGGACGCAAAAAGGACCCAAAAATTTACGGCAAGGGGGGGAAGGAACCAACACGGGCCCCAAGGGCACAGGGGGAGGGGGGGAAAGGTAGGGGAACCAAGGGGCAAGAAACAACCCAGAGACAACAGAGGGGAAAAAACAGAGAAAAAAAAACGAAAAAAAACCCCCCCCCCCGCCCCCACCCACCCCCCCCCCCCCCCCACCTCCCCCCACCCCCCCCCCCCCCCCCCCTCCCCCCCCCCCCCCCCCCCCACCCCCCCCCCCCCCCACCCCCCCCTCCCCCCCCCCCCCCCCCCCCCCCCCCCCCACCCCCCTCCCCCCCCCCCCCCACCCCCCCCCCCCACCCCCCCCACCCCCCACCCCCCCCCCTCCCCCCCCCCCCCCCCCCCACCCCCCCACCCCCCCCCCACCCCCCCCCCCCCCCCCCCCCCCTCCCCCCCATTCCCCCACCCCCTCCCCCCACCACCCCCACCCCCCCCCCCACCCCCCCACCCCCCCCCCCCACCCCCCCCCCTCCCCCCCCACCCCCCCCCCCCAAACCCCCCCCTTTCCCTCCCTCCTCACCTCTCCTCTCCCTCTCCACCTCTCCTCTCCCTCCTCACCTCTTTCTTCGCCATCTCTCCTCACCTCTCCTCCTCCCTCCTCACCTCTCCTCCTCACCTCTCCTCTCCCTCCTCACCTATCCTCTCCACCTCTCCTCTCCCTCTCCTCTCCATCTCCTCTCCCTCTCCTCCTCTCCAGGCACATGAGTTTCTTTGCATCCAAGGCGAGTCCCCACCCAGTGTGATTCTGGACCCTGTTGGGAGGGCCCAACACGTCCACAGATGGAAACCTGAACCAGCTGGCCACCGTCATGGCCGACATCGGCAAGCAGGAAGCTATGATCTTCCTGGTCTCAGACGGAGAGTGCTAGCCCTGGCTCTGTCCCACACTCAGCACTGCACCCTATTCCCTAGATAGTGCACCAAAGTAGGAGACTACCTAGGCAATAGGGTGCCATTTGAGATCGGTCCCCTAACGAGGGAGAGGACTGGAACAGGGTAAAATATACAGACACAAGAGAGGAGAGAAGGGAAGAACACTCCCTCTCTCTCCCCTCCTCGATGAGAAAAGAGGAGCTAAACAGAACCAGGATTTGGGAACAGGGTTCATGTATGTTATGTTAGATCTATCTATCCTCCCATGTCTCCATTCAGAACCCGGATGTCTGGAGAATGCAGGACCTGGGAGTGAGCTGGTCCTGTGAGGTTGTTTCTGGGTGATGTGCTTTTGTCAAAGTAAGGCAGGGATTCAACCCGTGTAGTGCTGTCGACAATGCATATTTTAAAGGCAATGTGCCCACATTTGCGGAGATCACATTCAAGGTAAAACGCTGCAGATGTCGGCTCGATTGGTTTTGCCTTTAAAAGGCGCGTAGTCGGATTGAATCCTGGTCCAGAGCTACTATGCCACAGGACTGTAGAGGATATCTGGTACACGGTATGGTATACAACTATGGCAGACAGGTGTACAAAGAGCTCTTTTATGTTGTTTAAGTCAAGTTCAGTAGCCATCAAGGTTTAACCTATAACCTTATATCCAAGAGACTTAGGATCAGATGACCGACAAGCATTTACAACACATGGGCCATACTTGGCCACAAAGTAGCAATATGCAAAATAATCACATTGTCCATGGCCATCAAGGACAATGTCACAACGTCAAGTTGGATCAGTGCCGCTTATGTTAGTCAGAGACAAACATGATCACGTTCAATATCTAATCTAACCCCCCCAGAGAAATTGAACTGTTTTGCCACTCTCTTAACAATGTGTGGTCGAACAGCAGAGTAGATTTATTTCTGCAACTGGCTGGACCATATTGTGAAGGAAAACAAAAAAAAGTTATCATGAGGGTCTATGATATCCAGTCACTGTCCATCCATTAACCCTGTGGTGTAATATGATCTGTTTATCCATCTGTCATCACCTATGGTTTAAACAGGCGGTAGAAAATGAGCTGGACTTTTAGGCAGGCGATAGATTTTATGTCAAGATTCTAAAGAACACATCTCGTAGACATTCTGTTTGACTGTTTGTTGCCGTCCTGGATCAAGTCAAAGTGAAACTTCACCACAGTGAGTGAGTCTGTAATGTTTTTATCAATTGAGACAATTCCACAGCTCTACTGCTCTCAAATCAATATTTTCTATTTTTGGTTGGTTAGACTTTTGAGAGTAAAAGTTAGTTATCGGTCAGATACATTTCAGAAGTGGTTACAGTTGTTTTTACTATAAGCTCAAGACAATGTAGATTTTCCTTTTTTTGTTTCAAATGTATCATGGTGAGTTTTCGTATTTATCAAATTCCTCAGTTTGCTAAGGTGTAAAAGGGCAGAGGGGCTGTCTCTCTCTCTCTCTCTACTCTATCATATCTCTCCGCTCATCGCTCCCTCTATCTCTGTGTCTCTCCTCTCTGTGGGTCTCTCTCGCGCTATCTCCTCCTCTCTCTCTCTCACTCCCTCGCTCCCTCTCTCTTCGGGTATTCTCTCTCGCTCCACTCTCGCTCTGTGTCTCTCTCTACTCTATGGTATATACTCTCTCTCTCCTATGGGGAGAGAGAGAGAGAGGGGGAGGAGAAATAAAAGAAAGAAAGAGAACACGTAAAAAAAGAGAAAAATAGCATAGTAAGAAAAGAAAGAATAGAAAAGAAAGGAAAAAAAGAGAGAGAGAGGGAGAGAGAGGAGAGAGAGAGAGCGAGGGAGATGAGAGAGAAAGAGAAGAGAGAGAGGCAGAGCAAGAGAAGAGATCCTTCATCTCTCTCTCTCTCTCTCATCTCTCTCTATCACTCCCTCTCTCTCTCTCTCTATCGCATCCCTCTATCTCTATCTCTCTCTCTCTCTCTATCTCTCGTCTCTCTCTCTCTCTCTAGCTCACTCTCCTCTCTGTGGTCTCCTCTATGTGTCTCTCTCTCGCTCCCTTACTATCTTCTTCTCACTCCATCGCTCATCTCTCTCTGTGTTATATCATCTCTCGAATCCCCTCTATCTCTGTTGGATGAGTAGAGGGGAGAGAGGGGAGAGAGAGCGAGAGGGGGAGAGAAGAACGAAAGAACAGAAAAGGAAAAGAAAGGAAGAGAAGAGAAAGAAACGCAAGAGGAATGAAAAGAACAGAAAAGGCAATAAAAGATAAAAAACTATATATTAGTATATATATAATATGTGGTATCTCTATATATATCTATTATATATCGATAAATTATAAAATATATATATATATATATACTATCTATCTATCAATACATATCTCTATCTCTCTCTCGCTCAATATATATCTATATATATAACTGTATCTATCAATATATCACCTCTCTATCTCTAGACTCAATGTGTTGTCTATCTCTCTATCTACTCTATAGCTTACCTCGCTTACAGATACTCTATCATATACTATACTATATCTCTACTCTGTTGTCTATCATCACTATATATCTCTCTCTATCAATATATATCTCTCTCTACTCTCTCTCTATCTCTCTCTCTTTCGTGTATTCTATATCTGTGTCCCTCCCTCACTCTCTCTCTCTCTCTCTCTCTCTCTCTCTCCCTCGCTCCCTCTCTCCCCTCGATCCATTCTCCTCCTTCTCTCTCGCCTCGCTCCCTCCATCTCCCCTCTCTTCAAAAACTAATTCTGAAGTTGCATTCTTTCTGATGACTTACGTATTGGGTACAAAATGGAACCTGGTGTAATAGGGGCACAAATGGCACCTGGTGTAAGAGGGTACCAAATGGCACCTGGGTACTTGTGGTGTGTAATAGGGTACCAAATGGCACCGGGTGTTTTGGTATGTAATAGGGTACCAAATGGGCACCTGGTGTAATTAGGGTACCAAATGGGACCTGGTGTTGTAATGCAATGGCACATGGTGTAATAGGGTACCAAATGGGCCTGGTGTAATAGGGGTACCAAATGGCACCTGGTGTAATAGGGTACCAAATGGCACCTGGTGTGTAATAGGGTACCAAATGGCACCTGGTGTAATAGGGTACCCATATGGCACCTGGTTGTTAATAGGGTACCAAATGGCACCTGGTGTAATAGGGTACCAAATGGCACCTGGTGTAATAGGGTACCATATGGCACCTGGTGTAATAGGGTACCAAATGGCACCTGGTGTAATAGGGTACCAAATGGCACCTGGTGTAATAGGGTACCAAATGGCACCTGGTGTAATAGGGTACCAATATGGCACCTGGTGTAATAGGGTACCAAATGGCACCTGTGTATGTTAATTTAAGGGTACCAAATGGGGACCTGGTGTAATAGGGTACCAAATGGCACCTGGTGTAATAGGGTACCAAATGGCACCTGGTTGTAATAGGGGTACCAAATGGCACCTGGTGTCGTAATAGGGTACCAAAATGGCACCTGGTGTAATAGGGTAACAAATGGCACCTGGGTAATTAGGGTACCAAATGGAACCTGGTGTATAGGGTACAAATGGCAACCTGGTGTAATAGGGTACCAAATGGACATGGTGTAATGGTACCAAATGGCACCTGGGGTAATAGGGTACCAAATGCACCATGTGTAATAGGGTACAAATGGCACCTGGTTGTTGTTAAAGGGTACCATATGGGACCTGGGTACTAGGGTACACATGGCACCTGGTTGTAATAGGGTACCAAAATGGCACTGTTTGTAATAGGGTACAAATGGACATGGTTTGTAATAGGGTACCAAGGCACCTGGTGTAATAGGTGCCATTTGGGAAAACAACTAAGCAGTGCAGAGAGGAGTTGTTGAAGCAGCATTTTAACCAGAAGGGAAGTTCAGAAGAGATCCTTTGTCCTCCATGGTGAATAATGCAACAGAAAGAACTGCCGGCAGAAAATCAGACAACTAATTATCATCTCCCAAATTACTTAGTGTTTTCATAATTCATAACATTGTGTGCTGGTGGCGGGGGTGGGGGGAGATTCTCATTCTCTGAGTTTGACACAGGTCACCTGTCTCCTATGCCCTGTTAACATCTTGGGGAGAGTCATAGCACAGCCAGAAGAGGACTGGCCACCCCTCATAGCCTGGTTCCTCTCTAGGTTTCTTCCTAGGTTTTGGCCTTTCTAGGGAGTTTTTCCTAGCCACCGTGCTTCTACACCTGCATTACTAGCTGTTTGGGGTTTTAGGCTGGGTTTCTGTACAGCACTTCGAGATATTAGCTGATGTACGAAGGGCTATATAAAATAAAATTGATTGATTGATAGAAGATTACTGATAACACTGCACCTCCACTATGAGTTTACCACTTTCCCAACAACACTTTTCCACAACAACAGAACAAATGAGGCAGATTAACGATGAAACCAAGAATACACAGCTATAGACTATTTACTGTCAACAGAATACACAGCTATAGACTATTAACTGTCAACAGAATACACAGCTATAGACTATTAACTGTCAACAGAATATACAGCTATAGACTATTAACTGTCAACAGAATACACAGCTATAAACTATTAACTGTCAACAGAATACACAGCTATAGACTATTTACTGTCAACAGAATACACAGCTATAGACTATTAACTGTCAACAGAATACACAGCTATATACTATTTACTGTCAACAGAATACACAGCTATAGACTATTAACTGTCAACAGAATACACAGCTATAGACTATTTACTGTCAACAGAATACACAGCTATAGACTATTAACTGTCAACAGAATACACAGCTATAAACTATTTACTGTCAACAGAATACACAGCTATAGACTATTAACTGTCAACAGAATACAC